GCGACCCCTTCTTCCTCCTCCCACCCCGGGTTTATTTGAGTGGGGAGGGGGGGGGTGGGGGGAGTCTGGTCGCCCGCCCCGTCTCACCTGAGGCTCCGGTCGTTCGTCCTTTTTATTTTGACGCGCTGTCTTGACAGCTCGCGGCCACGTGGAAGGTTCTGGAAATCTGCCCCGCCCCTCGCCCTCCACGCTGCACACACTCGGCCCCGCCCCCCGGCACTCAGCCCCTCCTCCTACCCTGCACTCAGCCCCTCCCCCTCCACCCTGCACTCAGCCCCTCCCCCATCCCCTCCCCCATCCTGCACTCAGCCCCATCCCCTCCCCCACCCTGCACTCAGCCCCTCCTCCTACTCAGCACTCAGCCCCTCCCCCACCCTGCACTCAGCCCCTCCCCCTACTCAGCACTCAGCCCCTCCCCCACCCTGCACTCAGCCCCTCCCCCTTCCCCCATCCCCTCCCCCACCCTGCACTCAGCCCCTCCTCCTACTCAGCACTCAGCCCTTCCCCCACCCTGCACTCAACCCCTCCCCCACCCTGCACTCAGCCCCTCCCCCTATCCTGCACTCAGACCGCCCCCCCACCTACACTCAGCCCCTCCCCCACCCTGCATTCAGCCCCTCCCCTCAGGCCTCAGCCCCTCCCCCACCCTGCACTCAGCCCCTCTCTCTGCACGCAACCCCTCCCCCCACACTCAAACCCTCTCCCCACGCTCAACCCCACTCTACCCCGCAATCAGCACCTCCCACCTGTATTTAATCTCCTCCCACAGCACATCACTCCACCACCATAGGGGATTATTATTAATAATAATCCTTACATTTGGTATAGTACTTTATGTTGTTGAGATGCTTCAAAGTGCTTCACAGGATTTTCCTGCCAAGTATCTGTATATTTGTAGGAAACTAATCCCCTCCTCCACAATCACTACACATCAACAATGCAACCCCTCCTCCTTAAAACCACGGAGAAACTTGTCCACAAAAGTAATAAGTGTATCTCCCACAGCCCCAGCCTTGCCTTCATCTCACAGTTGCCTATTTGCAACCACAGCCACAGTGCAATTCTCTCCTGATACGCAGACACAGACCCAAAGTTTGTGCCCCTCCTTTACAAGATCTACAGGGAACCTCATTATGGTGCAATTGTCTGCATTCAGTACTTCAGGCTTTGCGTTATAAGCACCTGTGAAAAAAATGGCCAACTTCTCGGATTGTTAGGTGCAACTGAATTCACATCCAGAGCATTGCGAAATGATGGCTGTGGCACCTCTTGTACATAGCCACCTGATGATCTGGGAGTTGGACATTTTTAGTGTGAGAAGTCAACTCGTCAGCGTGAGAGGTATCTGTGGATCCAGTTAGTGCAGAGTTACTGTGACCTTTATAATGCGGTTGACCTGTATAGTGTTTTCAACAGTTAGAGTGCACAGATTTGAAATTGACCAAACACATTTCACATAGCACCTTAACCTATTATATCACCAATACGTTTTCTGTTATCCACTATTAAAAAGCAATATTCATTCTGTTAGTTACTACTGTAGTCAAAGAATCAACCTACTTGAATGTAAATCTCGGTTGCATGAAATACTATGATAATTTGTTTCAGACACTTGATAACTCAGAACTTGAACCTCAAGTTGTCAATATTGTGGATGTGCACAGCCATGTCAACAGACCTAATGCACCAATATTCTTTCCCTGCAAACACTTTGCCTTCACGTAATAATAATCATTTGAAATAACGCCTTATCACTTCTTCGAGATGTCTCAAAGTACTATTGTCTCAAAGTCTCACATGTACAATTGTTTCATAAAATATTTCTGGGGGTCATTTTGTGACAACCCAATTTGGAACAAAGCAATTAAATTTATTCTGAAAAAAAATTGCATCAAAGTTTTGGGTTCAAATTTTATACAAAAGAAACCTTGTAAGTGAGTAAACTTGTTTAGAGGGAAATAAAAATGATAACATCAGTGTTAAAGGTGCTTTAATGTAGAAAAGTAAGCAGGTTTCAAAATAATAATGTCCCTCAGGTTCAGATGATATCATGAATTACAGAAGCAAATCTCAAGCAGTTAATGAAAATATAGTCATTTGAATCTATGTAACTTTATGTTACATGACTGAAATTCACTTCTGTATTCAGATTTATCTTGTCATTTGCTGTTATGATACTGACCAATATTTAATGAAGGAACAATACAGTTGTGTATTCTGATTATCTTTCTTCATCCCCTTTCGTAGTTCAGGAAGTAGCTGGAGTGATTTGTTGCAGCTTATATGAAAGAGCAGGCTGTTGCGATAGTGCAGCTTTTGTACTCCTACCTAAGAGAAGTTATCTCAGTTCCATATTTAATTTACATCAGTTGGTAAAACAATCGCAGCACACATACAGCTTATCATGAACTACTTTTCCTACAGTACATGCAAGTCAGAGGTTTGAAAAAGAGATCTTGCATCAATGTAGAACAGGAGTTGTTTGTTTAGCAACAAACAATGAACTTTCATTTATATTAAATGGCTTCATTAATAACAGACAACAATTGGAGATCAGAATCTCTCTCTGTGCATCCATTTTGTGTGTCTTTTTTCTATGTTGATTTTGACTAAACAAACAGCCATGCATAAAGGTAGTCCACTAGTGAAAGGAACAGAGTGATTGTAGCAAATTGTGGAGCTGACAGCTAAAGTTTGGGAAATCTGACTGCAGTCAATGTATACTGCACAGCAGCCTGGACAGTGTAATGATTAAATAAGGGAATGGATATGTTTCCTTTGAGTTTGGCAAAGAAAGTGAAAGTGTTGATTAACCTGCAGAGATAAAGAACATTCCACTGGTAAGAATTGACAGGTATGTTGTACCTAAATTGAGGTAGTCAGATTTAATAAATGTTGAAATCAAAAGTTGTTTTATGCTGTATAATAAGTCAGATTCCAAACACGTGTTAGTTTATGTATCAATGTACTTGACTTTTATTGCAAATATTTTTGTTGTGATTTAGAATTTTCTACTAAGATTAGAATGGGCTTTAACATTAGCCTTGTCCTGATATGTAACAGCCATGCGTTGTTATTTTAACTAACCCTGCAGAATGCTATTGAAAACCAGAAGTACAACACTTCAATTTTAATTAAATTTATGGTTTAAGCCTGAGGAATCTTCCTATATATTGCTCTTATAACTGCTGACAACTTATGTCACAGAAATTTACTTGAAATTCATTAAATGCATCCCATTGAATAGAGTAGACTTGCAGCAATTTGACAATAACCAGAATTCTTTAGAAATCAGATAAATTCTGATTCTGTTGTCAACAACGACAACAATGATTTGTCTTTCACGTAAGAGAAAGTCTCAAAGCACTTTACAAGGTTGGAGTGCAAGCCCATGGGGGAGAGGGTGGGAGGGAGGCATAGTCAAGTTTTGAGACAAGTTTTGAAAATCGAGATAAGGTGAGGGAATGAGGCAGAGGGATTTTGGAAGAGAATTCTAGAGCAGCGACTAAGTATTATCTAAGTGTAATATAAAAACACACCTGCTGATTGTGAGGAGGTGCAGGCAGGGGGCATGTAATAGAATGGATGGGGTAAGGTGGGCAAGGCCATGGAGCCATTTGTAAGTAAGCATCTATTGAGCAATGAATATAATTGCCAGTGAAAATGACTGGGCTCTGACTCATTTTCATGACATAAATAGAACACGTATATGGAACTGTTGCATACTTTGTTGATTATGCAGTTGATCATCTGTTGGAATATTCTTTTGATATTCAACGATGATCTGCTGTGCTTTTGCTAAAATCCAGCACTAGTTTAGGCTTGTACGCTAAATTCCAGGCATGTTTTCAAACATGGATCAAGTATTCAAGGATCTAAGCAGAACTCCGAAATACAAGTTGAGCATTGAAATGATAGTAGAATTGATATATATTGCACTGATACAGCACAATTGGGGGTTCAGACAATGTTTTAAACTCTATGGGACATCCTCCTAATTTGAAAGGCACTATACACATGTAATTTGTTGTTATAACATTAACCACACAGGCAGTTTTTAAATTAAACATCTGAGTGTCAGTTCTCCAAATGTCAAGAAATTTATGGACCACGTAAAAAAATATGTAATTTTAAGCTGATCCATATGTTGACTTGATCATATGATCTTATGATGGGATTTACAGGGCAATGAAAAGTAGAAACAAATTTGTGCCCCACCATACCTCGGTAGCATGTAGCAGTGCTCCACTTATTTGTCTTACCAGCATCAGTTTTAGTAGGATAATTGATTTTATAGTTACTTTCATAGTTTTGAACTTTCAGAAATGTTTGTATTTCAAATTAACTGTGTGCAATATCTTTGTGCCCAGTCTATAATTCAAATCTTAAAATGCAGAGTGTTTTCATTCATCTCAACACAAACTGTGATTTGAGTATTACACCAAAACATAGATGTAGTTTTAACCTGCTGTTAAGACTGCTTGATCAGACAAGAGGTCTGATATTAATTTAACGACATAACTATAAATATCTTTAATGCTGTTTGACTGTGCTTTTGGTTATCATTTCTCTCCCACCCTCTTTGGCTCCCAGCTCTGGTGCTCAGCCAGCAATGTGACATGCTTCGATACTTCTCCTGATGTACAAGGTGCTATATAAATGTAAATTATATTGCAGTTATTGTTAGTTGCAAAACTGTTGTGCCAAGTGAAACAAATCATATGTCAGACATCGTTCAATTTGTATTCCTGGAGGGGGAAGAAATTGTCCTGTACTTTGCATTTTAACTTGTGTGGTTGTTTCATAAAAGTTACTCCACATTGTCTTTTTTTTGCAGTTGTGGCATTCGCTGTTGCCTACAACCAGAACAAACAGCTGATTGGAGAAAAGGGACTTCTGCCATGTAAATCGTATTTACAAAATATTCAGCGTTACTTTGGTGGCAAAATTGGCATGGAGGCAGTTAGCCATTCGCCAACACTTCTGTGGTTCCTGGACTGGTCGGACATGGATGCAAATCTTGACTGTATTGCCCTGATGGGATTGGGATTATCAGCATTTGTGTTTATCACAGGATGTGCCAACATGATCATCATGTTTCTCTTGTGGCTCCTGTATCATTCGCTGGTGAACATGGACAAATCTGGTGAGTTAAAATTCTACTCGTGAGTGCTGTGAGTGCTATCATTATAAAGTTTCAGTTTTATCATTTTTATTTTGTACTAACTGTAGCCATTGCAGCTATGCTTGCAGCCAAAGGATCCAACGTGGGTGTAATTTCAGTGATAAAACATTTAACAAGCCATAAACACTGTACACCTTAAGCAAAACTGCCATACATGTGCAATGAGCTTGTTTAATTATAACTCATCAACGATAGGAGATTTCCCTTCCAAAAATATGCCCATGACACTCCCCCTGCAAGACCTTTCCGATGAGATATAAATCGATGAGGTATAAATGAAGTGATGTCAACTGATGTCAATCGGTTATTGCGTTAATGGCAGACAAACACACGTGCGGTGTGTGAGCTGTGCTGGGATCTCTCTCTCTCGGCTTCTGGTGCTTAGTCAGTCCGAGCAGGCCTCAGGCTTCACTTTAACCCCCTCTCCTCCCTTTCCTATCTCCTGACACACTCACTCACTCAAACACACGCTCATATAACCTTTCCCCTCTTGCCCCTCCCTCTGCAAAAAAAGCCTCTCTCACCTCCTCACTCTTACCCTCGAGAGATTATGGGACTGCGTATTTTTTGGAGGTCGGGGAGAGGGTATGTAATTTCCTCTGTCACTACTTTGCTGCAGAATACCATGCATACGTCATATTTTGGAGCTTAATTAAAGCATGTTTTAATATAGCTTATCAGCGATAGGAGAATTCCCCCAGAAAAATATGCCCATGACACTCCCCAATGCAAGACCTTTCCGATGAGGTATAAATTATGTCTCTACGTGACATTGGTTATTGCATTATTGCCACACAGACAGATATTTTGTCTGTATTAGAAAAAAGATTGCAAGGGCTAACCAATCACACACTGTCCAAAATCACAAGGATGAGATGAGCAATTTATTTATATTAACTGGCATGAAGCTTGAGATTGTAGGAGAACTACCTACGCCTGCCACAATTTATTTTTTATAACACTTATAGAGCTTTCTGTTATAAAAAATATTTAAATGAAATCACAGTTGAGCAAAGTGCAGTAGGAGGAAGATTTATTTGGGAGGGGGGAAGATTTATATTGCTGGGATATTAAATATCCTTTCTATTCATATCATAAGTTCCACAGCATTATTAAGTTGAACCAATCTGTTTGAGACTTTTATGTTTAAGATCTTGTTGTCTTCTTTGTTTTGGTGTAAGTCTGACACAGCAGATTCTCATAATTGATTGTGATACTTCTTGTTATACATATGTATTGACCCAGGACTGAAGTGAATCGAGTATAAAAACTTGCTTATGTTAGAGGGTCCATCAAGGTTTACTAATTGCCATTTGAAACAGCAGGAGAAATTGGTAATAATTGTCTAGCTGTTGAGGAATATGGATTTTGCTGATGGCAAAATACTATAAAAACCTTCGCGTTTAGACTGAACAGTGGCCCATAATTTGCCTATCTATCAGTGCCTGTTCAGGAGCATTGAAGACCTTTGTCTTATACGTCTGTGAGTTTATGTTATAAACTTTTATAAATGCTGCTCCGAAAATGAAGGCAGCCACACAGTTGTTTTCATGATGGCAGTGTTCCTTACAACAGCTGTTTATCTTCAATATAAAGATTAGTGTATACTTTCTTGAGCAAACCTATTAAATGGTTGGGTTTTCTTAGTCAAAATCTCTAGCCTCCATTACTTTGTGCATTATATACTGTACCATCTTATACGATTTAAACCCAGGTTGCACTGTGTTGGAGCATATTAATTTTGTTTGTGACAGCTTTGACATGACATGTGTTTCTTTATTTTGATTTTTTTCGAGAAAGCTGAAAGATAATACCTTTCATCATTATTGAAATCATACTTGTTTTTATTCAATTCCACTTATCCTGAAAGTGAGCCTCCATGAATTCTGGTTTCTATTTGGGTTGCTTTTTTTGTTATGGAGAATTATCATCAATGCCACTTGTCCACAGAGGCTGTACTGTGGTTCCTCTCTGGCTGTAAGTGATATGTGTCGTTGCTGGAAATTAATGAGTTTTGTAAATCGTACACACATTTTAACATTTAGTGGAATTGTGTGTGTAACCGGAATGGAGATCAGTTAAACAGGAAAATCTGAGCTGTGTGTACATGCCATAGTTCATTCAAGAATAATTGTTTTTTTTCATCAGCCATTCTGATATGGGTCACTGGATGGTCAAATAACATATTGCCATGGTGCATGCCTACCTGTAGACTTAAACCGTATTTGGAATGTGTCTTGATCTTTTTTAAGCAATGTCTTATAAAACACACAGACAATTAATTTCACAGTAATCATTCCGGTTTACACAATGAATAAGCTCTTAATTACGTCGCCAAAAGGAAAAGAAGTTTGAGAGTGCCAGAGGAAATCTAGCTGCTACCTGAATCATTACTTGTACATTTTGTTTGATGTTGCTGATGATAAATTGGGTAGGTTTTACATGTAAGGCTATTGATGGTAATTTGATGGAGATATCTGGAGTATGTTAGTGAGATTGTTTTGTATTCAAGCCATCATACAACCATGATGCACATTGCTCCAGATAATTAAGTATTACCAGTCACTAATTTCTAAAGCCGTATTACGTCACTAAAATCCGCTTGTTTGTGGATAATATTAAACTCTGAATCGACATTCTCTAATTTGAATAGTGCAGAAACCAGTTGTGGTGATCGAACCAATGAAATATAGCAACACTTTGTGCATTCATGGCGAATCTGAACTACTAAGCCCACCAAGTTATTCATTGAATAATCACTTTCAATGCTGAGAATTATATTACTTCGGTAATTTCTGGAGATGACTGAACATTCCACTTTTGAAGATAATCCAAAGTTCCTATGAATAATATGCCCTCAACTGTATACTCCAAAAGATCCTATTTACAACTCAAGCGACCGGACCACACATGCATTTTCATATGATTCACCACCACCTCAAAGCCCATTGCAAGAATTTGTCCATCTTGCTGGGGATCATCATTAAACTATGTAATGTGCTTGTAAGGATAGATTAGTCTTGGGGAGGAAGGGGGGTAGAAATGGTCTCTTGTTTCTTTTTACTGTCTTAGAGGAAAATCCATTGCTAATTTCTTATTTGAACCTGATAACGCAAGGCGATCTGATCTATGGTGTACATGATTAGTGTTGTAACTTGGAACATAAAATGACTCTCTGTAGTTAAATACAGATCTTCCTGTCCATGGTTTTTCAAACCACAATTTTTTTAAAAAATGAATATGAATACCTCTGGCAGACACAAGTTGTGTAGTAAAGTGCTTGTCTGTTACAGCTGCAAGAGCAAAAAATATTCCCCAAAGCAAGGATTCGATGATAAAAATGTACAGCTTTGTAATATTTGATTTGAATCCTCAAATAGTGGCTAAATCCACACCGTGTCATAAAGTACCCTTGTTAGATTATCTTGGCCATATGTTTTATTGTTGAAAACTTCAACTTTATGCTCAAATCTAGTATTTAGAACATTCAGGCCATATGATGTCAATTGGCCAACCACAAGATGTCTCATTACACTTAGTAACTGAAGTCGTTTAGCATTTCTGGCTCTCATTTCAAGCGTATGGTGGCAAGGAGTGAGATTTTTTTATGGAGTAGAAATGTGGTACGTTATTCCATTCAGTGCCAGGTGGATCCAGTTATATCTAGTTTTATAAAGATACAAACCGGAAATACTTAGATGGGAAGGGAGGAGTAAGAGAAAGTATATAAGGGCATATGTTATGCATCTGCTTTGAAAAATGTTCTAGACAAATGTGCAACATGGTAACAGATTATTACAATTGTACAGAGGAGAAAAATGACTCAAAAAGTAAATTTTGCTAACCCATAATTTTTTGGGGAAGTTTTGTAACATTTCCTCGTGGTCTTGCTCGGTTATCTAAAATTGTCAGCCTGACTCAGTGGTAGCTCTCTCAACTCTGAATCAGAAGGTTGTAGGATCAAATCCTCACGTCAGGACTTGTACTCACATCGTCTCAGATGATACTGCAATGCAATGCTGGGAGTGTGCTGTGTTGTCGGAAGTGCCGTCCTTCGGATGAGACTTTAAACCAGGGTCCTGTCTGCCTGTTCAGGTGGACATTGTACTATTCGAAAAGGGAAGGGAGTTTCTCCCGTTGTCCTGGCCACCAATCCCCCAAATAAAATTGGTCACTTGTTTCATGGCTGTTTGTGGGATGTTGCTGTGCAGTTGTGCTGCCGCGTTTGCCTACAAATACAGTCACTCCATTTCCCAGTAATTCCTGTGAAGCTATCTTCCTGATGTGATAAGGTTCAATATCAAATGCAAGTATTATTATTAGTATAAAATAGTTGTAATTCTACACCTGCAGTCAAATGCTTCTTTTCTGGAAGCTGAAAATTGTTCTGTTGCTGTTTCTCCTCTCCCGACACGGACGGCTTGGATAATAGCTGGGCTTTCTTGTTTAATTGTAATTTCCTTGCACATGTTTAAAAACCTCTGTTTGCTTGTGAAACATGAACATGTTGGAAAATCTTAACTTCTGATCCAAATTTTAATCTACTGTAGGTTCTGGCTCCGCAAATTTAGAAATTTGGATCTGGGTTTGAGTTTGTTAGGGTTGAGTAGGGTCAGCTCATTTGCCAGCAATCCCAAGTGTAGCCTTAATTCTCTGACACCTTTAATTGGCTCCCGATACATTGGAGAGGGCTTAGAACCTGGCCTGGATTGACTATAAAAATACCAGTTTGATGAAAAGTAAGTTTTGCAACTGAAACATCCTGATGGGATCAGTTTCTACCTTCTTAACTTCTCTGCTATCGTGCTTTTTGGACTCTTATAAAAGATACTGGCTTTCTTGTTGCATATTTCTCATAGCATGCAAAGCTTTTGTTACTTCTCAAAGAGGAGTATACATTAGACAAAAAGTAGTAGCTACATAGCATAACAATGTCTGGATGGTAAGAATTACAATAAATA